ACTCGGATTTCACAAACTCTGCAGGCCTCTATGCACAGTCTACCGTATTGCTCGAGCAGGGTGGGAATGTCTAGCAGTGAGGTTCCTCCATGCTCCTCTTTGTTTTGGTGATGTGACTCATTACTCCTAACCCCTTCTTTACTTTTCTCTAAGGGGAAGATGCCCTTACTCCTTTCAAAGGCAGCCCTTCCTCAAGGAACCAGATCCCATCCCACTTCCTTGCAAGACTTTGCTTATTAAGTTGTCTGTCTTAAAGCTTCAGAATCTTCTACTTCTCTATTCCTTTTGCTCTGTCAACAAACAAGTTCCAGTCATGCACAACCTAAAAACAAACAGAACCTTTCTGAACCCTGCTATCCCCCTGAGCTATTGCAGGGCTGCCTGCCTTCTTCCTACTAACTTTTGCATTGAGGGGTTGGTTTCTTCTAGCTCCACCGTCACAATCTCCATGGTCCTCTGCTTCTCACAGTTTGGCTTTCAGCTCCTCCTCCCCCCTAGTCTCACCTCTCCCAAGTCAACAGACCCCCTGATCAACAAACCACTGGCCCATCCGAAGCTCTCATTCACACCAACTTTTGTCCCACTGAAATCCTTGAAATGTCACAATCTTGAACTGTCATTCGTTCTTGGCTTCCATAGCATGTGGTTCCTGGCTTCCCTCTTGCTCCTGCTTGGCGTCCTCGCCAGCCCTTCTTATCATAGATCCCATCTGCCCTTCCTCAGTCATCTTGTACGGTCCCTTGGTCTCAGTACTAGACTCCCAAAGCTGGTCCCTGGGTGCCTCAGCTCCTCTGGAGCCTCACACTCCCATTTCCAGCCATGTCTATGACCTTTAGCCCACTGGTATCCCAAATGCTGAGCTCAATCCCTTCATTCCCTAATATTTACATTTCGGTGAGTGGTCAATCAGCATCCCAGCATCCAGACACAAGATTTGATGATATTATTTATTACTTTTATTATTTACTACTTACTCCCCTTCCCTTCTTCCACTTCCAATCCTGGGTCACTCTGACATGGTTCCTGCCACCTTTTGTTAGGAAAGCAATGGCTTCTCCTTGCCTGTCCCGGGGTTGCCTGATCCTGATTTTCATTCATTTCCAGCCCACATGAATTCATGTGGTAAAGCTTCACTTGGATGGTGTCACAACCCATTGCCTTTCTGTATTCACCCACATTTGTCTCTGATATTAAGGGAGTATTTTTAAGAAAACCTCCACTGTCTCTATTCAAATCAACTTGTTCTTACCCAGTATCCAGTAGAGGTCTGGAGTGGTGGGGGTCCTAGACAAACTAAAATCAGTTTTCTTGATAAATTCTAAAATTCCTGTATTCCTTTAGAAAATATAGTAAATGACATAGCTTACAACTTTGGCTTATGCCTCAACAAAAACATTTACTTGAGTAGAGTGCTGTGTATATTTGTCAGGACACACACACACACAGAAACCACGCTGGGCAGTAGGGGTGCACAGAGCTTGCTCTTAAGGAACTCATGGCCTCTTGGGAGAAGGGGGAAGGGGGAACAAGTCACGGCAACATCATATGGTGAACACTTTTTAGTGTTTGGGACTAGGGAAAGAAAATTGAGCTGGCACAGACTGCCAGCTATAAAGAGCGGCATTGGATTTACACCTTAAAGAATAAGCATGAGTTTCTCAGTGGAAAGGGGGAAAAGCAAAGTGTTTCAGGTAAAGGGAACAGGAAGATAGGTGTGTATGTGTATGTGTGTGCATGTGTGTGTGTGTTGGGGGAGGACAGAGGAAAATGCGTTCATAGAAGGGAAGCTGTCTTATGAGTCAGAGTAGTGGTTCTGGGTAGGGGATGGATTTTTCCTCTGGTGGCTCTTTATGGGACACATGTTCCCCATGGGACACACGATAATGTCTCCAGCCATTTTAAGGTTGTTACCACCTTAGAGGGTGAGGGTATATGCTACTAGTATTTAGTGTGCAGAGGTCAGAGATGCTGCTAACTATCCTGTAATGCACAGGACAGCCTGCTAGAAAAAACAATTCTACCATCCCAAATGTCAATAGTGCCAAGGTTCAGAAATCTTAAGGTAAAGCATGGTAGTTCTAGGAAGAAATAGCGCTTGAGTTATCCACCTGAAAGATGGTTTGGTGTTGTTTTGCAAAAGGTCTGAAGGGTCTATCAATATGATGGAAGTTTCTAGAAAGGTAAACATTTTATTTTCATTAATTTAATTGGTCTCATTTGATTCAAGGGTACTCATTCACAGCATAATTCAATAAAAAGTGATAATGCTTACAAGTAACAAAAGAACATTTTCTTTACAAGATTCTTAGGATTTAAGTGTTGAGGTCTTTTGATTGTGGATCTTCTAGTGGAAAGGCATCTGTGTGTACTGGCTGATTCCTAGTGCTATTGGTGCCTGGGTGCAGAGTGCTGAGCCTTCCAGAAGCCTTTTGGGGGGTGGGGGAAGGATGGGGCCTGGAGGTTCAGACTATCCAGGTAGGGCTGTAGAGAGGGGGAGCTGGTAGCCTCCCCAAAGGCTTGTGGAGGTCATGGGAATCTTCTCTTCTTGGAGTTCTTGGTATAATGTCTATCAATAGTGTTGGGGCCACTGCCTCTGCCACTCCTCCACCCCCACTCCTGCAAAGCACTAGGATATCTGTCCATTGAGGCATCAGGCAAGGCAGATCCAGGAAGGACAGGGTTGAGCTCAGGGTGAAGATGGACCTGTGCCTTTTGTAAGGTCACAGCTAGGTATGGGTTCTCAGGAAAGACTGGCTCTGCATGTTTGTGAATAGAAGTCTGGAGATCACATTTTCTAAGTCATTTTTATGTTGGAAAGGTTGAATTTATGTCATCATTGTTTAATCCTGTCCTCCTTTTTTCAGTTTCCCATTGTGACGCCCTGACCCACCCCCAGTATTGGGCGTCAGATCCACTCTATCATGAGGAGGTTGATAATTGACTGGAAGTTATGTAGGAAACACAAGGCATTCTAAGCCTATTTTCAATTTTCTAAACACAGATATCTGCCAAGAAATTATTATATTAAGTATGGGGCATACCCTTTGTTTGATCAAAGAATGATTACTGAAGGTTCTTACTTGTGGTTCTCAGAACTTTGAGCTTAGGGCTTGGCACCTGAACTAGAAATGAACCAGAATATCCCTCCCTTCCTTGGAGGAACAGGAGAGGTGGAGATGAGAATACCTTCATGCCCAGAGTTCCCAGGAGCTAGGAGCTGGTGGCCCCAGCACTATTGATAGTACTTGATCCCAGACCTTCAAGACTGGAAACCACCAGTTGCTCTACTTCTGCTTCCTCCTCTGGGAAGCCAGATGCCATGTCCTAGAAATTCCTTACTGAGGCCCACACAGGGCATCCCCAAGCAAGAAGGAATCATGGTGGGTAGGCTAGCCAACCGCAGGATGTGGAAACCATGACTCCAGCCCAATTTGAAGGATCTGTGTCACAGATAGGAGAGGAAGTCATGACCACCCAGTGCTCCTGGACTGGCCATCTCCCTTGTGAGTTTCCCTGCCCATGCTAGCCTGAATGTACTCAAGCAGAGAGAAAAGAGCCAACCCTGACCATCACCAAAAAGCCCAATGCCTCAGTTGACAGGAAGCAGGATATTCCATGCAGAGGTTGCCCCCTCACCTGGGAGCCTGGGTCCAGCCCACTATGGAGGGGAGAAACAAGGACTATCCAAAGCCTCAGGACTTGACAGTGGCACCAGGTGAGCCTTTGAAGCAAACACAGCAGTTTTTTTGTAATGTACACTCTTGAAAAGCAAGAAGCAAACAAAACAAAAACTTTAAGCTTGAGGAACATTTCCAAATACTAGATTTTTTATGACTCATTTAATGGGATTCAGTGGAATCCACTGTCATCATCAACCTACAATAGCATTCAGACACTGAAGTTAAAGGCTACAACCCCTGTGGCCAGGGAGAATGAGAGATCACAATTTCAAAGGTTGGGCAATCTTTTTACCCTTCTACTTAGAAATTGTATACCCCATGGTAGGGTTGCCAGTTAAAATACAGGATGCCCAGCTGGTTTTGAATATCAGAGACATACTTTTTCTTTTTTAGTATAAGTTTGTCCCATGATAAATTCATTGATCTGAAATTCAAATTTAACTTAACACCCTGTAGTTTTATTTGCTAAATCTGGAAACCCTATTCCTGAGACCATATGAAATGGGAATTTTCCATGTGTTTGGTCAGTATCAGTGCCCATGCCCTTCTCTAGGGTGAGCAACTATCTGGCCCCTCTAACTAAGGTTATTTCTAAAATGCCCACAACATGATTCTTACAGCCCAGCCATCAACTCCATCTCTCTGAAGAGACCATCATCTGTTTTACTGCTGGAAGGAGAAAAATATCATTGAAAATAGATTCACTAAGAGACAGTGTGTCGATCTCTGATGTGGTGGTGCATTTTTAAAATGCTTTCTTCATTTAACAAATATTAACTGAGCATTTGAAATGTTCAAAGCATCTGGAATTGAATAAGGAACTAAATATTCCTGTTCTTAGAGTACCTGCAAGCTTATAGGGGGAGATTTTGGTTTTCTTTTTTCAATACTGGAGATTGAGCTCAGGGCCTCATACACTTACGGTAGGCAAATGCTTTACCACTGAGTTACATCCCTGGCCCACAGGGAGGGATTTTCAAAGTTAATTTTAATATTTCTAAAAATGTTTTCATTAATGCATTATAGTTACATATAATAGTGGGTTTCATTCTGACATAATCACACATGCATGGAATACAATTTGCTCCATTTCAACCCCCAGTGCTTCCTCTTCCCCTCCCCTCTTCACCCTGATTCCCCTTCCTCTTCTTTACAGGTCTTCCTTCTATTACTTACTGTTTTTTTTTTTTAAGTTGGTGCTTTATAGATATAAATAAAGGTAGAATTCACTGTGACATATATGTACATAGAGTAATTTTGTCATTTTCATTCCGAAATTCCTCCCTTTCCTGTCCCTCCCCCCCTTCCCCTCAACTCCTTTCCTGTACTGCACTGATCTTCTGCCTATTTTCATGGTATTCCCTGATTTTTTTCCCCTTACTTTTCTCTAGCTTCCACATATGAGAGAAAACATTCAATCTTTAACTTTCTGAGGCTGGCTTATTTCACTTAGCATGATGTTCTCCAGTTCCATTCATTTACCAGCAAATGCCATAATTTCATTCTTCTTCATGGTTGAGTAAAACTCCATTGTGTGTATATACCACATTAAAAAAAAATCCATTCATCTGTTGGTGGAGCATCTGGGCTGGTTCCCTAACTGGGCTATTGTGAACTGTGCTATTATAAACATATATGTGCCCATATCTCTGTGATATACTGATCAGTTCTTTTGGATAAATACCAAGGAGTGGTATAACAGGATCACATGGTGTTTATATTCCTATTCTTTTGAATAATATCCATACTGCTTTCCAGAGTGATTGTATTAATTTGCAGTCCTGCCAACAAGTAAGATGAAATCTCAGTTTAGTTTTGATTAGTATTTCCCTGGTTGCCAGGGATTTTGAATTGTTTTTCACATATTTGTTGGCCATTTGTATTTCTTCTTTTAAGAAGTGTCTGTTTAGTTCTTTTGCCAATTTATGACTGGGTTATTTGTTTTTATAGTCTTAAGGTTTTGAGTTCTTTATATATTCTGAATATTAATCCTCTGTTGGAGGTAATACCCTTCATTTTAAATTTTAGATGTGACCCTACATACTGGCTTAATTACACTGTAGTTCCTTGTCACTATTTGAATATATCTGCGCACTGCTTTGATCGTGTTTTCTTATGTACTACTGAGGCAAAATTCTTGCTATGCCAGCATCTCCCATGGTATATTTTATGAGAATAGATAGCAATAAATACTGGTTTAAAGAGAAAGCTTCTAGGAACATGACTCTCCTAATTCTGTTTCTTAGCGTGTGTGTGTGTGTGTGTGTGTGTGTGTGTAATTGTACAGATAAAGGATATCTTAGAAATGTTGGGTGTATACAGACTATCTTTCTTGACCAGCACTCTAAATCCAGCACTTTAAAGATTCCAGTAACAGCTTCTTGGGCAGAAAAGATGGTTCCTCGCTTTAGCAGCAGACACTGAAACGTGGCTTGGCTCTTTCCCTTGGCACAGTTCTAAGGTGTTACGTTCCATTAGAGGCCCTGGTGGGAGGAAGTACTTGTACCTTTTCTGAAACTCACCAAATCAGGCACAGACTTGCTGGCAGCCTTGATGGAGGGACCTCACTGATCCGTGCCCAGCTCTCAGGAGGTAACTGGCAAGAGAGAAGAAAGCAAAACAAGCAACCAAATCCCTGTACACCTTATAAATTTGACTTGGAAATTTTGCCTCAAGGCTATAAAAGAGGAGAAATAATGATTCCATTTTCTCCAAGTCCAATTTTTGGGCATTTAGTCTTTAATGTGGAGAAAATACATCCAATTATCTGATTATCAGCTTTTTCCTTTTTTCTTTTTCTTTTCTTTTTAGCCTAGCCATTTCCAGGATCAGGTGATTCTGCTCCTTGAGAATGAATTTAGGTTATGCTACCCCCATCCAAAACTAGGCCTTCAAATCACATGACTTGCCTCCTCTTCAGGGGCCAAGCCTGGAAATCATGTGCTTCTACTTTGCCTGGGAGACATTTCTTTGATTATCTGAATCTCATCTGCCAAGTATAAATCGATTTGTCTCCATTCTGTTTGGGTTTGTGAAGCTGGGATTATCAGGTTTCTCTTGGTGGCTTCAGTGACCAATTTAAAGGGTAGTATGTGTACAGCTTCCTGCTGCTCTCTGGTGGAAACAATGCGTATTGAACAAGCCATAACAGAACTTAAGGTGTCAGTGCAAAGGCTCATGGGAATAAGTTCGCTTCAAGCTATTCGTGTCTACTAAAATGTGAATCTAGATTTATAAATGAAAGATAAATTAAATGAATGGAGCTATGAGAGTCTGTCTTAGCAGTTGAAGCTTCAATCTCACCTTTCTCTGTTTGCTGGCAGCTCATTTCTCCTTTCTCTTTCCCAACCTCTTCCTTTTCTTCAACTCTTATTTCATGTATATTGGGATAATCCCAAGATTCCCGTAGGGTTATCTTTCAACATTTCTGAAAAGTGAGGATCAGCATTTGGCCCAGGAAATGGGTGTATCCGTATACATTCCACATTTCAAATTACAATTGATACTTATCCATTCAGATCAAATTGCAAATCAAAATTCACTTCAGGAATACAAATGGAATATGTTAGTCTTATACCTTATGAGAATTTCTCAGTGCAAGTGAGAGTCTGTCTCCTTAAGACTTGGCATGCAAGTTACATTTTGAAAGAGAATATGTTAATTTTTAAGGCCTACAATTGACAAAATTCTCAAAAAGTACACCAAGGTAGAGGCATGTTTTTAATTAAAATATACTCCATGAAAGAAGCCTTTTAGAATTTTAGAATCAAGGAAAATTTTTGAGACTAGTATATAGGAACATTAACATATTATGCATCAGTATTCAGCCATGCACTTTCAAATGTGTTCCAGTGATTTCTAGAGCTATTGTGAGGTTCTTTTTATTTATTTTTTATTAAGAAATTATCAATGCCAGGCTAGTACTTGGTTCATATCAGAAGGCTTTTCTATTATGAGTTCATTCATTCATTCATCATTTTTTTCAGTGAGTATTTGCTGAGTGGTCTTGTGGCAGCACTATGGGAGGCATCCTTCACCTGCATGAAGCTGCTTGTAGAACTGAGCCAAATATCTCAAGAACAAGGCAGACCAGGCAGCATCATGGGAGAGGTGAGAGGGAAGTGAGATGGGGGTTCAGAGATCAGTGAAAACCAGGGACATCTGAGTTAGGGTTTTATTTATTTACTTGGTGCTGGGGATTGAACTGAGAGCCTCATTCATGCTAAGCACATGAGCTACTACTGAACTATATATCCTATGAATCTAGGATTTAGATCAGTGGTAGAATATTTGTCAGGTATTTTGGTCACAGTGATGTCACCTGGAAAACTTGTTCCTCTCCATCCCAAGTCCTCTATCATCCCAGGTACTTCATTATTCTCATCTCCAGTCACCTTCACATCCATTTAACTTCAGCCATGTACCCTCAAGTGAGAGCCCAAAAGGTTCATCAGGATCATCCATCTCTACCACATAAATTCAGACACTTCCCTGACAATAGCTTCCTACTTTTAAACTTTCCTACCCAGTTTACTCCTTATAAATCTCGTCTGTGCTCTCCTTATTCTTGGGTGCACATTGGGCAACTTCTTCCAGTCTCTGAGTTAAGTGTGGCCAAATCGCTGAGGAAGCCATTTTCAGACCAGTGCTGTTAAGCAGCAGTTGTACCTCTTCCACACTCTCTTTCCCCTTCAGCAGTGAGGGTGAAGCTGGAGGACAGGGAAAGCCACCAGATGGGATCAGAGCTGGAACAAAGCCACTGCAGACCAGGAACCCCTGCTCAGAACCTTGGGTGATCTAGGAGTATATTTCTGTCAAAAACTGAGGTTCAAAGAGATTAAGCACCTAGCTCGAAGTCACATGGCAAGTATTCATGGGAACCCAGATTTGAATCCAGTCTTCTTTCCACAGTCCAGGTTATAAACCTTTGTGATGTATTGCTTTATCATATTCATATATATATATATATATATATATATATATATATATACACACACACACACACACACACATACACACACACACATACACACACACACACACACACACACACATATATATATGTATATATAAATATATCCATACACATATAAACACTTGTTTTAGTCAGCTTTTCATCACTGTTATCAAAATACCTGATAAAACAACTTAGAAGAGGAAAATTATATGGGTCTTATAATTTCAGAGATCTCAGTCCATAGAAAGCTGGCCCCTTTGCTCTGGTTCTGAGGTGAGGCAGCACACCATGGCTACATTGAGGGTTTTGTTTTGTTTTGATTTTAGTGTGAGGATCAAAGTCAGGACCTTGGGCATGCTAAGCAAATGTTCTACCACTGATCACATCCCTAGCAAATGTTCTACCACTGATCACATCCCAAGAGTTTTTATTCTTTTGCTTAATGGCCAACATAAGTTTTTTGTTGTTGTTGTTGTCGTTGTTGTTTGTTTTTAGGGAAAAGGACCATGTGAGTGCTTGCTATATGTTGCCTTCCAGTCCCTAGCAGAGTATCTGATAGATACACAAGAGAAATTTACCAAAGGTTCTGGCCTGAACATTGTATCCTCTAAAATTCATATGTTAAATTCTAATCACCGATTAGAAGGTGGAGCTTTTTGGGGAGGTGATGAGGTCATAAGGGTAGGTGTCCTCAAGAATAGTATCAGTGCTCTCTGATTCTCTGTGACTTGAGCTAGGACTTGAGACCCAAGAATGTTATTTTCTGAAGGGTCTCCAGTGCATTCAGAAGCATCACTGTTACAGTGGAGATCATCTGGTCCCCTCACAATCACAATCAATCTTGGATGACTAGGTACAATGACACAGCACACTGTGGATTTCTAATATCCATTTTCCCCTCATGAAGAGATTGTTCTGTGTTCATAACTCCTTAGTCCTTACATAACCGAACTAGTTTCAGATACCAAATTGGGGGGCTGTTTCCTGGCATCTCCTCTGTTTCCAAAAAATGTTATCAGTATTTCACCAGAGAGAATTTAAGAAATGTAAGAATTTATTACATTGGTGTAAATGAAGTGCAAAACCACACCACTGAGGTAACACAGAGGTGTATGTGAAAGTAGCTACAATCCCTGAAACAAAGCAAAGAATTTGGGGTTAGCAGAATTTAGACTTTTAGAGAAAGGGGACCACAAAATTGGCACTCAGATCTTTGGGAACGCCTTCTAGGCATAGCTAGTACCTCTAAGGGTAGTTCTAAGAGTATGTTAAAGGGAGCCAGGGCCTGGAACCAACTGCACTTACCTGGGCTGAAGAGTGGTTGTTGGTGGGCAACACCATTAGAAGTAAGTTCTCCTCCTCCTGCCTTCAACCTCCCTCTAGTGGCCTGTATTGGAATAACAACAACTGGCAAAGAAAGTAGTTTGCAGAGTCCCAGTCCCAGCATCACAGAGCAGTTTGAAGCACCAGATTGAAGTTCAAAGGCCATAGGTGAATGGGCCAAAAAGTATATCTGAATATATTGGTGCATATACACATGCTCACACATGCACAAACACACACACCTTAAGACTTTGGCGCACAGTATTTTGGCATTGAAAATAAGGTTGTTTTTTTTTTTCACTATAACAGCAACATTTCTATTTTTCTTGTAAAATGGAAGATACAAATAAGTTCATAGAAGGAAAGATATACCCTATTGTTGGAAAAGTTATCATGGTTTTGTTAGGATCCCCCAGATCCTCTCTTCAATGTGTAGATACATATTTTTTTTTTTCATGGAATTATCACTGAAGGGGGTGAGGGTGGGGGGTAAGGACGTCCCTCCAAAGAGAAGAAATGGACTTTAACTCAGCCCGGTAAGTTCTTCACTTTCATCGCAGAAGAGAATTTCAGGGCACTTCGGAAGCAAGGCACAAGCAAACATTTATTTAAGGGCAGCAAAGGTGTACACACCCGAAGGTAGGGTGCAGGTGCCCCTCACCTCTTAGAGAAGATGAGTGACACACCCATGACTGAGCTCTCTGATTATATATAGAACTTTTCTGGGAAGAAATGTGCAGGTTCTCAGACAAGTTTCTTTGAAAATCAACCCATGATGATCATTCTATATTTCAGAATGTCTTTTTAGTCAAACAGTCTAGCTGCAAATCATTTGTGGGTACATTGTGTAAGTCTTTGAATCTGGTGGCATTTAAATTATATTTTTGTTCTAGTTGATCTGTTGCAAGCATATGCTGGAAATTATGTTCATCTAACTAAAGAGACAAGCATGACTAGTCATGCTCATAAATCCTGGTCTCCAGCTACTAAAGGTCTTTTTTTTTTTTTTAAATCTATCTCCCAGAGCTACCTCACTAAAGTTTCTTGTGATCTGCCTCTAGGGGCCTGGGGCAGGAGGCTTTAATGGGACAACCCTGCATTCTACCATGCTTCTTAACAAGTGCAATTCCAGTTTTATGTATTTATTTTATGCATTTGATTTCCTTGTAAGATTTGTGTGTGTGTGTGTGTGTGTGTGTAGGGGGTAATTACACTGCCTAAATTTTAGAACAGATTCACTGTGTGGATACAAAATCATTTTCAATTTTTAGGATTACAACAATGAAGGATAACTTCGAGTCTAAATTTTTTGGGAAAGACCTAGTAACAAGACGTCCATCACACTTTTTACTTTGTCTATATGATAGTACCTCAAAATTATTTTATTTGTGTTTCTTGGATAATGAGGTGGACAAAGTTTTGATAGTTATTGGTCATTTGCATCTGTGACAGTCTTTCTTCATCGTACAGGAAATTTAAAGCATGGCCTTAAAACCTGACTTCCTTATGTACACAGCCTGCATTCCTTCCATATACCCCAGTTCAAGAAAGTTCTGATTTCCCTCCATTATTCATCCAGAATAACATCCCTATCTTCTACTCTTGGTAATGATCTCAAATCCTCCTCTACTAATACAAAGGCTCTCATTTTTAGGCTCCCTCATCTTTCTATTACTGCATTCAAAACATATCCATATCTATGGCTATCTTTATTTTTCCTCCTGGCTCAGATACTAAAGGTTCTTTGATAGACAAGTCAATCCCTTTACTTAAGCACTCGATACATTCCTGTTGTCACCTCTGGTACTTGATATGGTGCTAGTCAAATACTTTGTTGAATGAGTAATGGAATGGGTCTTGTCCATCAATTATCTTCCTTTTGTCTCTTGAGTATGTCCAGCTTTTCTTACTCTTTTTTGTTTCCTTCTTCTTAGCATGTATACGATCAAGTGATTTTCCATTTGCAATGGCCAGTTTCATGAATCAACTTGGCTAGGTTACACAGTACCTAGTTATTCAACCAAACACTAATCTAAGTGTTGCTGTGAAAGTATTCTGTAGATGTGATTAACATCCACAATTTGTTGACTTTATGCAAAGGAGAGTACCCCAAGTAATTTGAGTGAGCCTGATTCAATTAGTTGAAAGGACTTAAAACAGGTTTCCCTAAAGACAAGAAGGAAGAAGATGAAATTCCACTATGGACTGCTCCTTCAGTTTCTGCCTGAGAGTTTCAAGTCTGCTATACATATTTTGGACTTTCCTATCCAATCCCCACAATCACATAAGCCAATTTCTTTAACAAATACCTTCATATGCTACTATTTTTGCTTGACTGGTGGACCCCTGATGAACACATCATCTTTAAAAATCTGAAAAAAGGAAAACAATACCCTTCTTGATTCTCTCTGTTACCACATAAACTCTGCCTTCCCTTCTCATTTAGGCTTCTAAAACATATTATCTCAAAGTCATTATTTCCATTTTCTCCCTCTGTAATCACACTGCAGCTATTTATTTAATTTGTGAATTGGACATTTTCTTGTGAACAGCCAATGGGTCATCTCAAATTCAGGATATCAATAGTTATCTCATTATTCCTGCCACCTATCTAATTTGGTTCTTCTTCTGAATGCTATATTTCAGATGCAAGGTGAAAATCTAGAAAACACCCTAGACAGGTAAAAATCTAAATACTAGACCTCTACCTAAGTTACACTCTCAGTCTCCAGCACCAGTGCTTGAAGGTTCAGGCTTTCCTCATTTCTATCCTCAGCATTTGCGATAGACTCTTTAGTCTCCATGTCTCCAGCCTCTTCCCTCTCAAATCTGTTCTTCAGAGTGCTCTTCCTCTGATGCAGAGTGACCAAAATTGCCCTGTTGAAGAGTGAACAAGGAAGTCCTTTGTCACATATAGCAAGGACTCTGCAACCCACACTGTGGAGCTCAGGTAAAGGCCGCCTGTCGCTGCGCTCTGGGCCCCGCCCCTCCCCATTTACCCGCCTTGGCCTCTCCCCCCTCCTCTGCCGCTCCACTTGGTCTCGCCCAGCTCCGCCCATCGTAAGCCCGCCCCGTCTCCAAGATGGCTGCTGCCATGCCGCCCGGCCCGGAGCCGTGGAACCGCGTGAGGATCCCTAAGGCGGGGAGCCAGAGCACCGTGACCGTGCGGGACCCTGGCGCCTCCTTGAGTGAGTGAGGGGTCTGCGAGGAGCGCCGACGTTTCCGGAGGAGCCTTCGGGCCGGCCGGCGCCCGTGGAGCGGGGCGGGACTTCCTGAGTCCGGGGAACGCTGGGAAGGGGCGCTGAGCTTCGCAGGGTGTTCCGCTGCACCGGGCAGTGTGCGGAGGGCATCTGTCGCCCCCGGTTCTGGTTGTTGTAGTGAACCCACGTGCTAATGCAGGGCCTGGCTGGAGGGGGTCAAGGGCCAAAGTGCAGCTCCGCGCCCAGATGACACAGCTGGCGCCGGATTAAAGTGCCGCCTGGGAACGGGTAGAGTTGGCTCAGGCCGCCCAGATCTTGCTCTTGGACAGTTAAACCACTCCGGCCCGAGGAGCTGGGGAGTCACCCAAGCACTCTGGACTTAAGGCACAATCTTGCTGGACCTTTGGCTCCTTATCTGTAAAACAAGAATTTGCCTCCCTTACCCCTAACTAGCATGATGGATCTCCTGATGCAAATTAGGAGAGTGCTCTGTGAACTCAAGTGTTAGTAACATGATATATTGCTGTTTTTGGCAGTAGGATATAGTAGGTAGGAGCCTGGGAAAGTTATTAAACCTTTTTGTGCCTAAGCTCATTTTCTAATGAGAGTAGAAATAGTACCTTCCTCTTCAAGTCTGTCTTGGGGAATGCGAGTCTGTACTATATGGTGATAGACAAATGCTAGCATTTGTTAAAATTACATTAATAGAAAAATTTAATGACGTTTATTAATATTAAATATAGCCTATCAAATAAATCATCATCCCCGCCCCATTCCCTTCCATCCATCCTCTCAGTTTACCAATTAATCTTCCTTCCTCTATTCAAGAACTTTTAAAATAGAATTCCCGTTAGGCACAGGACATTGACCAATTCACTTCTCATCCCCAAGGCAGCCTTTTCTGACTTCAGATATTTGGGACAGTAAGATAATTCTGCATGTTGTATACAAACCTGCCTTTGGGTTACCTCCACCTAGAGTGCTTGCGTTCCCTTAGAGCCATAGAACAGTTGACTTCTTTTACTTGACACCTTTGCAGATTAAGAAACTTCTGGGCACTGGTGTTCAGTCAGATATTCAACTAATATAACTTCTAGTGGACATGGTGGTTTCTCTTTTTAAATATGATCATCCTTCTGTTCGCATGAGAGATTGGTTCCAGAAACCCCTTGAGTTCCAAAAATCTGTAGATGCTCAAGTCCTTTATATAAAATGGTACAGTATTTGCATATAACCTACACACATTCTTCTCTATCTTTAAATAATTTCTAGATTACTTATAATACCTAAGTATAATGTAAATATCATGTAAATAGCTTTTATACTGTATTATTTAGGAAATAGTGACAAGAAAAAAGTCTATACATATTCAGTCAGATGGATTATCCCTCAACCTCAAATATTTTCAATCTGAGATTGGTTGAATCCATAGATTTCACCCATGGATATAAAGGACTGACTACATATTCTTGTCTTTTTATGGTACCAGGGATTGAATTCAGGAATGCTTAACCACTGAGCCACATCCCCAGCCCTTTTTTATTTTTTATTTTGAGACAGAGTCTTGCTGAGTTGTTTAAGGCCTCAATAATTTCCTGAGGCTGACTTTGAACTTGTGATCCTCCTGCCTCAGCCTCCTGAGTCTCTGGGATTACAGGTGTGAGTCACCATGCCCTGCTTTTGTCTTTCTTAAAAGTGATATCCGAATACAGTTTCTTTGACTTTAAAGGCTATGAATCTATCTGTTCTGTTTTGCTTACATGCATAGCAAAATGGGAGATTTAGAGAAGTATGTATGCCCAGCTTCAAAGTATTTAAAGTGTACACCAAATGAGTGACCGTATTCAGATGAGAAAAAAATTACTTAAGTCATGGTAAAATGCAGTGTAAAGATATATGTATTCTTGTAGAACAGATGTTCTCTTAATGATTTCTTGGAGTTTATATCATTGGTCACCATTTTCTAACTTCTCACTTATTTAGAATCCTTCGTTGTTTGTACAGTTGAGGTTGACTGTATTAATTTCATTTTTGATTGCTTTAAAACAAATAAGGAAAGGTATTTCTTCCAGTGTATTTTTCATATAGTATCCTTAATGTATAAATACATATTAAGTCTTATTAAATGTCTCTTCTTTAGACCTTTGCATTGCAGCTGTAATTAAAGAATGCCATCTTGTCACACGGTTGCTGAGGAGTCAACCCTTAGATGCAGAAGCAGATGTGTTATGTGCAGTCCTTTACAGCAATCACAACAGAATGGGCCGCCACAAACCTCATCTGGCCCTCAAACAGGTGAGGAGGAAGCCCTATGTTCAATGCCCAGATTGTTACTTGAAGAAGATGTAGATCACACTCTCACTATTTTATTATAATGGAAATCTCAGTAAATTACTTGTGATTTATAGGTCTGTAGCCCAGAGTTAAATGTGAGCCTTTCTGAAACCATTTCAAAAAAGTATTTTTTTTTTTTTTTTTGTTTGAAAGTAAGTATGTTTAGATTAATTCTTTCCCAGTTTTTTCTAATTAGGAAGTAAAAAAAAAACATTTTCGTTTTGTGCAATCTATGTAATAGTGCCTTTGCTTACCTCAAAGATAAAGTGATCAAGGCAGAAGTGTCAAATATTAACAAACAATTATCTGAGCATATTTAAATCCTAAAATCCTAAAAAGAACAATATTTTGGTTTATTGTGGGGCACATAATCTAATCAATAGTAAATGAATATATGGCAAGTTTTAGTATAAAGTGGTTTCCTGTAATTATTAGAGCTTAAGACAAAATTGGGTCCTGCAGCTTGGACTAAAACATAGAGTAGAGCCTCTTAAGCTACATTCATTATGTGTTCATTCATTTATTCACTTTATTTGTGTAACAGACACCTTGCAAATATTGTTTACAACTTTTTTGTGCCAGGCACTGAGCTCCGTGCTGGGTATATAGGAGTGAAAAAGACAAACATTGTCTCTAATCTTATAGACTCAACTTTCTTGTTAAATTTTTCCTCCCATTATTTAAGGCAAAAGGATGAAAAACTCTTCATTAAAGAAAGATCATGGATCATGGTCTTTTCCTAAAGATTCCCTAGGATAACTTTTATCTGAGTGGAAGTAATCCAAAAGCAAAATTATTAACTCTCAGATTTAACATATTTTCCTCCTGGCTTCTAGGTGGTATATAATCACCCAGTCAAAAAAATTTGGTGTTTTATTGTCTCAGTTTCTTCTTTTTGTGTAGCTCTCCCAACCAGTTTATAAGTTGGAACTTTCTCTGCATCTCCTCTTTAGTTCTGGCTGCCATTTTTGTGTTTAGACCTTTTCAGCATGTAGTTCTTATTACCCTAACTGATGTTTTTTTTAGTCTGGCTTACATTTTGGTGTATTCAATTTAACAAAACTAGGTTATTAACCATCCTAAAACAACTTTGATTTTTAGTAATTCTCCATTGTGTCCCGAATAAAGTCAAAACTCCTTCGTTTGGCTCCTGGTATACTCTAATGATCTAGCCTCATGAGCCTTTGTTAGCTCAGGCTTCTCTCTGGCCTTCATGTATCTTGTGTTCTGGCCAACCTGAACTTTTTTTTTTTTTTTTTTTTTAAAGCCGTACTGGAGATTGAACCTAAGAGCACTGTGCCACTGAGCTATGCTCCAAGTCTTTTCAGTCATCTTAAAAAAAAAAAAATTGAGATAGGGTCCTGCTGAGATGCTGAGAGTGACGTCAAACTTGCAATCCTCCTGTCTCAGCTTCTTGAGTCACTAGTATTACAGGAGTGCACCACCATGTCTGGACAGCCTGAATTCTTAATATATTTACTATGTTTGTTCCCTCTTTTGAAAGGCTGTCTCATCTTCTAAGTCCCCTGGCAGTGATAATTTTTTTCTTTCTAAGATGTAACATGAGTGTATGTTATGGCAATCCCATTTTGAGTTGCATTTTTATTATTAATAGTAAAGTTGAGTTATTTTTTGATTATTTACTGTCTCGGCTTCCCTTTCATTTCTCTTATAGCATTTAATACAATCTGTGTTGAGGTACAGTTATTTGTGTATATGTTCCTTATATCCTTTAGCAGGGAACTTGTCTCATAGTGTCTCTTGCTGCTGCAGCTGTTACTGTCACTGCTACTGCTGCCTTATATCTCTTTAACATTTCACAGTTTACAGAGAACTTTCACATACATTTTTACAAATGTGAGATTTAATATTTTCTCTTCAAAAGCCAGATACTGGGATTTGCCTCTTAACACTCCCTCAAATGGAGCACAAAAAATATTTTTGATTCCTCTTTTGTGTGACAATTCTTTGAGTGTAGTAAGACTTGTTATGTTCTTCCATGTCCTGTCTCTTCTTTGCTCAAGTTCTCAATTTTTTTTGGTCCTGTCTCTTGAATCACAGTTTATTTAGTTTACCAAGCACCTTACCTTCTTGGTTTGTTGTTACCTCTCTCAAAGAGTGGCGTTCAGATTTAAAAACTGAAAAAGATAGGAGCGGATCCTTAAATTCTTAAATAGAATTTAAGGATTGTTACTTTTAAGTATTATTCTGAAAATTGCTGTTAGATAGAATCCTTAACTTTCATTCAATTTCGTAGTATACATGTAACTCCAGCAAGATACTATTGTTGCTGGTACCAGTACACATCCAAATCTATATAGTCTTTAAATTATGGCTACAGTTCCATGCATACCCTTTGTGTGGAATTTCTTGATAACTACAGAATTCTTGGACCATTCTGTATAATGAGTAGCTCTTGCCATTTTAAAAAAATGGTATTTAGTGCCTACTTCTAAGAACTGGATTATACCGGTGATCAAAATGGACAAAATACAGTGTGGTGCTTAGAGAACATTTTGGAGAGAAAGGCAATGAATCAGTCAATTAGTTAATAATGATATGTCAGTGGTGGTAAGTGCTGTGAAGAAAAGGAGGGAATTGCAATTTTTAATAAAGTACATCAATTTTTATTTTAGCATTTAAATATTTTATATATCATCTTATTTTTACTACTAGAAATTGGAAAATGCCTTACTATATCTCCTAGCATGCTTCATTGAGATAACATTTGTTCAGTAACTCAGTCACTTTTCTCATATTTGTGGTACTTTATAGACTGTTGAAATTTAGTAGTTAATAATTTAATATCTTGTTTTAATGGCTTCACTATTATAAAGCATGTTGCTTCATCAAAATCATAATCAAATACTCATTTTGGCTCCTTTTATCACGTTCTGGCATTTAGTAATTTCTTAATCATTATCTTATTTGAGCAGTTTGTTGAGTAGGATAAATTCCATATTTGTAACCAGAAGCAATTGTTTTAGGTTTTGGATTTCTTTACCCTTAAACAAAAGGTATTCTGTAGTATATTTAGCTTGTTTTCACATTTTGAAAGTATGGTTTTTTTGCTTTCCTGGTCATATCAAGTGAACCTTGACTGCATTATACTGACTTGACCTGCTCTTTCTTTTTCAGGTTGAACAATGTTTAAAACGTTTAAAAAACATGAATTTGGAGGACTCAATTGAAGATGTATCTGAGCTGCTTTCTTCCACGTAGGTGGTCTATTGCTTTGTGTTGTGGTGGGCTGGGAACTTGATGTCCTGTCGTGTTTCCCCTTTAGATTTTCTCTGCTTGGTGGTGGGGTATAACCAGTTATACCTCAGCTATACAGTTTTGTTTTATATAAGGGGCATCTGGTGTTTGCGGTTATCTCCTTCTGTTGGTCTGTGGGAAAGAGTGGAGTAACTTTGAAAGCTGGATCACAATACGCTATATTGAAACATCAGTTGGTTATTATTGAGTATACTTTTTGAGCTTCTCTTGAAAACTGCTATAGAAATGTTTTTTTGTTTAAAAATGAAATAATGCACTTTTCTGTTTTTGTCAAGTGAAAGTCAGCCTGCATCTGCCAAAACGTGTGTCATCCCCAGCCAACCAGTGGTGGAATTGGTGTTGATGAAGGTTTTGGGAGCCTGCAAGTTGTTACTCCGCTTATTGGACTGCTGTTGCAAGGCATTTCTGTATCCTTTAATCTATTAAAATAACTTCCTGTGAGTGGGCATTGTCTGGATATATTTAACAGTATTTCTGTTTGAAAGCAAGGGCCTGATAAATGTTATAACCTGTGAGAATTTTAAAAATTTTGTTTTTTGGCCTTCTTTTCCTCGTAATTGGTGGATATGGCCATTGGCAGACATTCTTTCTCTAGCACATATTATCTTCAAAGCACTGGCAGCTAGAAAATTCTTAAGCTTAGAAGTTAAATTTAAGAACTTCTAAGTTATGTTGATTACTATATTTTTACATTTTTGTGACATTAAGGGGAACATGCTTTAAGTCTTCAAGACGATTCTTTTTACTTTCAATCTATTTCTTCTTTCATAATTATAACTTGCAAAGCACAGATTACTTTTGTTTTGTTTTCCCACCTTAAATTGATTCTCCAGCTTAACTGTGAAACATCTAGGATTGCAAGAGTTTATTATTTTAAATCTTGTGATGGTTGGGCTGGTGAGCAGATTCTGGTACGTACATGGCCTTTAACATAAAAATAACAGATTTTTATTTCTTTTTCATTTCTCTACCTCAATCTAGGTTCTTATTAGTAGTTTTTATATAGTTTCATTTCATATTGTTTTTTCATGGGATGCTGAAGGTGCAGGAGTCCCTTTCTTTATCTGATCAGTTTACTTTTGGTAGATTGGGAAGCTAAGTGCTGATGATTATGTCAAAGGAGTAGGCTTTGAATCTGAAACCAAAAAATTCAGCTTAACATTAAACAACTGAAGAAATGAATTCCTAGGATTTGGAATAAAAAAAATTGGTGGCAGAGATTGCATTGCAATGGGCTTTTTTTTTTGGTACTAGATATTTAACCAAGGGGCACTTTACCACTGAGCTACATCCCTAGTCCTTTTTTTAGGGGGTGGAGTGGGGAGGGACAGGGTCTTACTAAGGTGCTTAGGGCTTCACTTAGTTGCTAAGGCTGCTCTGGAATTTGTGATCTCCTGTCTCAGCTTCCTGAGCTGCCAGGATTAAAGGTATGTGCCATAACTGGTGGGGCTATTTAAAATAATGATATTCTTATACTGGCTATACCATGATTCTTTTTGCCACTTAGTTTCTAAGTTTTTTAAAAAATATTTTTAGCTGTAAATGGACACTATATCTTTATTTTTATTTGTTTATTTTTATGTGGTGCTGAGGATTGAACCCAGTGACTTACAGGTGCGAGGAAGAACTCTACCACTGAGCTAAACCCCAGCCCCTAGTTTCTAATTTTTAATGAAAGTGAAAAATACAATTTGATATTCCTTATGTGCTACAGATTTTCCTACCTCCTGAAACAGCACTGTTTTTAGAGGCCTGTTTAGTTGATGTAAAGAAAACTTGGCAATACTTGCAAACTAAAGAGACATTCTCTTGAATTTCCTAACATACATATTGTGAAAATGATTTGATGAATAGTTAGATTCAGAATTGGTTCATTAGCTCTAATTTTTGAATGTAAAACTGAAAAATGTAGAAAATTCTTTCTGCATTCAGTGACTGAAAACCTTGCTTTGTTGTCTTAACTTGGATCTATCATGTACTATTTCTTATCACTTTGCTTTTTATTCTGCTTTTTCTTAATCAGAGGGAATACCATTTGAATTACTGTCATTTATCTTAAAATGTTTAACGTTTGTTATTCTTTTCTGTAATGAAAAGAGATTTAACTTTTGCTGATTACAAGCATACATGCTTATCTTATAAAAAACATAAAAATGTGAAGTATTTGAAATTTGCTTAAAATCTCATCAAAATAAAACCACCTATTAAATTTTTATGTGCATTCTTTGACATAGCTCTCTACTCTTTGTTTTTGAGTATTGTTTTGTACTTGAATTTGTCTGTTGTGCTGGATTAAACCAACTACTTGCAACTTGCATAGTGGTGTTATTTTTAAATCTATACTGATAGAGCTTGATAACCATTTGTTTTCAGTTTTGAATCTTATAGTTTATTATGTAATCTACATTGTAATTACTAGCTAATCTATGAGCTCCTGTTCTTTCTAGGGTTCTCTATAAAGGTGTTTTAAGAAGGTTGATTTCTTTATATGAGCCATTGTTTGGATTACTTCAAGAAATCACTAGGATTCAACCCATGCCTTACTTTAAAGGTTTTACCTTTCCTTCTGATATTGCTGAATTTCTAGGACAGCCCTATCTTGAAGTCTTTAAGAAAAAAATGCCTACAGCTTTTGCAGCTAAAGGAGTAGCTAAGCTACTAAATAAACTCTTTTTAACAAAAGAACAATCTTCAAGGTCCAGCGAAGACACTTTACTTAGAATTTCCAAAAAAGCTAAACAAATGAAGACCAATATACAGAATAATGTGGATCTTGGACAGCCAGTAAAGAATGTCTTCAAAGGTAATTTGCTTTGATATAGTACATCTTCTAATTAAATAAAACTTTTAAAAGCATGATGTAGTCATACATTGTATAGAAAGAAATTCTCTGTCTCACTGCTGAATGTTAACCCACCCTGATTAGAGAGGTATAGTTACACCTATGTTTTCCAAGACTGAGCACTTAAAAGTTCTTTGTTAGAAATAGTTTTTTGCTTGTTTTATTCCCTTTATTTCTTTTGTAGTAACTTGGCAAGAAATGTGCACTTAAGAATTTGTTGGAGATTTGAAAATACCATTCCTAAGTTTTTCTGTCTGATTTTTCTACCTCCACAGAAAAATCTACAGGATTTGATGTGAGGTCTTTCTGCAAACAGCTGAAACACAAAGCCACTGAGGTTTGTCTGACTTAATTTAATACAGCTTTTGATTTCTGCTAATTTGTAGAGGATGTTACTCACCAAGAACAGGGAATAAATCCTAGTCCTCTGTTTATGCCCAGCTTTAAGGTTGGTGCCTTATTAGTTGTGTGTATGCTTTTGAATGAATAGAGGCAGGGAATTTTTTAATGCTTCCAGTTAATTCAGTTAATAGAATGCTTTCAGAAATGTTTTAGTAGGAGTTTCTTTAGAATTTTAAAGTGACCATAAGTATGGACTACACTACAGTTTAGTAAGAGTATGGGCTTTGCAATCAGACAGATGTTTTGAATCCTAGCCTTGGTTTATACTAGCTGTGTGACCTGTCAGTTCCCTGGTCTCTTCATACCTCTATTTTATAATAATAGTATGAACCTCACAGGGTGTGGATAGTTTAATACATACAAAGTGTTCAGTGGGATCTGGAGCGTGGTAAGCATTTAATTGGTGTTAGACATTACTAGCAATTGTCATCATTTTTATCATCCTCCTCATTTGTTATGAGGTTATTTTCTTCTTATTGAGTTCAAACTTTAACATGATTCCTCTCTTTAGTTAGTGCCTGTAAATTCTGTTTGTTCTGTACTTAACAACAGTTAAGTATGTCAGTGTCAACCCTTTTTCACCATGATAACTACTTGATTTTTATTATCCTTTATCTTTGTAAAATGTCTTTCTTCTCGTTTCATTTGTCGTTTTTCTTCTTCCATTCTATTTAATAATTATTAATCATTTCTAATAAGTCACAGTTTTTACAAGGACTTCAGATTGCCAGAGGGAGGGATAAAAATAATAGCTAATATTTTCTGTGCCTGACATTGCTCTAAATGTTTTATGTGCATTAACTCATGCAATCTTCTGAGAAGTCCTGTGAAGCAGATAATTTTATTACTGATTTCATGTTTCAGATGGGGAAATTGAGGCATAGAAAGACTTAAGAAATTGCCAGGCCACACACTGAATGAGTGGAAGAGCTGGATGCAGGCAGTATATTTTCTTTACTACTATTGCAGCCCCCAAATATTTTTAATTCAATTCTGTCTCAGAGAGCTATGGTACCTTGTGATCCTTGAAACTTTTGCAGCTTGTCCAGCTGCTTGTAGATGAGCTGGTTTTGAAACTGGTTGGTTGATGTCCCTTTCAAGAGTAATAACTACCATATTTTTAGAAGTTGACACTATTGTGCCATTTGCTTTTAAGGGTAAACTTGTTTTATTGATCACCAAACAAAATGTTGATGGGTCTCTACTTTTATATTTTGCATTTCTTTTTTAAGACGAGTGTGAGAAATTTAGAAAGAAGGTAAGCTTTGAAAGGAGAATAGAAGCAGACTTAGTAGGTGGCATGTTTTCATAGGAAATAGTAAAAGTTAGTAAAATCCAAACTTGACTTGATATATAGAAAGAAGGGATTGAAAAAATAAAGGTGCCTTGTAAGAAAATGGTTTAACTGAAATGGAAATGTTGCTCACTTAAGCATTTTTAACATGTTCACTCTTTGTTAATTAAATGATTGGTAGGTCTGCTTTGTTGGATACTTTGCAAGCTCCACGTCCCCCCATCCTCAAGTATTTTCAGTAACATTTATGACTCATTATTGAAGAAGGTTACTTAGCAGATAGACCAGCTTTGCGTTTAAAGGTTCTCAATCCAAACTGAAGTGTTTTTCCATTATTAGGCTTTGACTGGTATTTAACCATTTGGAGTTTCATTCTTGTGTGTATCTTGATGTGTGCACTAGAAATATTTATATTGAGTTTCATGGGTCCATCTAATTCAACTGTCTTAGTATAGAAATGGGGAAAAAACAAATTGTGCTAGGAGATGAGAATAAAAAATTAAGATTTTTAGGACAAAAGGATAATACAGCAAAGTTTTCCTTCTTTTAAAAAGACTGATTATTTTAAACTTCTGATTGAGTCAGCTTTCCTTCTTGTCATATATTTACAAATCATTAATGTATTTAATATATTTTCTTCATCTTTTCACATTTCAGGAGACCAGCTTTGAGTTTAAAGGTTCTCAATCTAAACTGAAGCCAACAAAACATTCTCAGAAAGTGATACGAACTACTCCTGCCAGAAATTTTGTGCAACGATTCCGAGAGGCCAAGACTTTCAAACAACTCTCTGAAGCAATTCAAATGGCAATTACATGGTGCAGGAGCACAAAACTCAAGGCTCAGGCTACCTTTCTGGGTAACAAACTTCTTAAAAGTAACAGGCTTAAACATGTGGAAGCTCAAGGTTATAGGTAAGGATATTACAAAAATTATATTTCTTTTTCTGTTGTTGCTTAGGGCAAAAGTATTTATATTCAAGTCTCTTTTCTTTAAAATAGGATGTCTAGCAGCTCTAACTGTGCTGAAAGTGAGATCTACTCAAATTGTAATTTCATTTCTTGCTTTTGTCATATGGGCATAGTTATGTTATTGGGAGAAAGAAAGCAAACTTAGGTTAATTGGACCTACTCACTAGTACTTTTTATCATTCCCATCTATTCATTCAGGAAGCATTAAGAATGTCTGGTGTGCAAAGCTTGAGGACACTGATGCAGGAGGAAGACTGGTCCTTAGGAAGCTTATGCTTTAGTGGGACAGGTGGCCTTTCTGCACACAGTGTAGTGAGATGAAGGTGTGAGCGCAGGAATGGGAGCCTGCACCTCAAGGTCCCCCACACCAGGCTGCCAGCATCCAGGGTCAAGCTAGATGTTCAGAGGAGTTACTCCTCATGTATTGATGTCTTTCTTTTCCTGTGATTTTTATACTCATAGAACTGTTTATGATTATAGGCCAGTGTTGCCTGAAGCATTATTTGAAGTTATAGCTACTTCAGGGCTCTTATTTTTACTGAAAATAATAGATGCTGATGGTACCAATTCACACATAGACAGGCATAAAGATCCTTATTCCTTTCACAGAGGCAGTTATCACTCTGACTAGTTTTTTATGTTCAATAAATATTCTATCACACACCGTAATTTCTTACTGATAGCCATAAACATGTAACTACCCAGGGCTTTATAATGTTTCTTGTGGATGAACCACCGTAACTGTCTGAAATTTAAGGTTTGTTTTAAAAATTATGAAAAAGATATTTCTACTTTAGAAAAAATGTGGTATATAATGGGGATTTTTGTAGCAAATTCTCACAACGATGCTTGGGAGAAGTTGTTGAATATTCCTAGGGATGAACTAGAAGGTTTTTAACATTGGGATCCCCTAGAGGTCTATAGTCATCTTAAAGGGATGTATTCTAGGGTTGGAAACAGCTAGAGATGGTGAGAGGCCCTTTATTCAAGATTGGGTTGGATGAGGCAGAGATGATGATTAAAAGTTAATGAGAAATGGGAAATAACCAGGGAATGAAATTGACCAAATTATGTTATGCAAGTATGAAAGTGTCATGATTCCACTATTATGTATAATTGCAAAGCATAATAAAAATCATTAAACAAAGAGGGGAAAAAAAAAAGATCTCATCAGCTTACCTGAAGGGGACAGCTCTGAATGTCTGTGGAAGGAAGGGAGGGAGGGAGGGAGGGAGGGAGGGAGGGAGGGAAGGAGTTAATGAGAACAATCACAAAGTTGTTTATTGGTTAAGCCACTATAGTCTGTACTTCCCTAAGTGTAGTCCTCTTTCACATTGTCCTATTTAGCTGTTTCATTTTTTTTGTACTACACTTTATATTTAATTTCCACAATAACTCCATGAGGTAGGCAGCATTATTCTCATTTTATAGATGAGGAAATGGAGGATTTTTGCATAAGGTGTAATTACTGGAGGCTTAGAACTCAATTCAGGTTCTCTAATTCCTGTTCCTATTCATTCTCTCTTCATTTCAATATAAGAGTTACACCTACACTTTCTCTGTTAAATGTCACCACTTAGAGTAAGAATAGTTTCGAAACAGAGATCATGGATTACTTCAAATGTTTGTATTTGTTTTAAAAGTAACAAGGGAAGTGGGATAGGGAGTGTAGACCTATGTTAATATTTTAAAATTTGGCCATTACAGTGAGGCAGTTCAGTAAGCATTGATGAACCTATGGTAGTGCACCCTATTTAGAAACAAAAATACCTTTTAGAATCAACTGTTTGAATTCAGAATTTTGAACACTTGAAGATGATGTGCTATAGACTGCATTTCAGGTAGCTCAAGGCTACCTGAAGTTTGTATGGCAGAGGACCTGATTCCTTTTTTCTTGTTCATTTCCTCTGTCAACATGAGTTGCTTGTCCAGATGTGGATAACTGTGTACTGATGGATTTTTTTCACTTGTGATGTTTTGCATTTCCACTTCTGATACACTATGAGGGCAGAGTTGATCATTCAGCAAAACAAAGACACATCTGCCTATAATCTGAATCAGAGGGAGGTTTTGCTCTGAAAATTTGAAACTCCAGTTTCCTTATTTCCTTCTTTTATGATTCTGAGATTATACATAGGGAGAGGACTTGTAAATAAATTGTGTCCTTTTCTGTAGGAAGTTGGTAGAAAGGAAATGTGTTTAAAAAGTGCTTGAATTATTTGCATCTCAAAAAGTTCAGACTTTTTTTCTTTTTGTCCTTTAGTTTGCCAAAGAAACTAGAGTGCATAAAAACATCTATTAGCAACTGTCTTCTTCGTGGCTCAGGAATCAAAACTTCAAAGTATCATCTGAGACAAAGGAGATCACAGAATAAATTTTTTCTGAGACAAAGGAAACCACAGAGAAAGTTGCAGTCAATTCATCTGAAGGAAATACAGCAGTTCTCTTCAAAGAGTGCTACAGACACCAGTGCTAAGTGGAGACTCTCATGCCATACAGTTCAGAGAACTGATCCTGGTCCTAACAGTAAGCAGCTCTTGAGTAGCAGACTTTCAAGTCCTGTCAAACAAACTAAGGAGCAACAGATTCATGAGAACCTCCTAGGAAGCAATGGAAGTGAATGTGATTCATGGATAAAAACACAAATAAACAAAGAGAGTATGCCAGAATCTGTTAAGGAGACAGATGACATTGATGACATTTTTGCTTTAATGGGAGTTTAGATGTTCATATGTGAGACTTTTAAAGTAGTTAACAATCTGAGTCAGTCTTCTGCTGTTTTAAGAGGAGCTGCTTCTGTGTAACATCACATAGGAGTTCATTTTGGTTCAGTAAACATTTATAGTTGCTTTGTGCCATTTATCAACAAGTGTTTATTTTGTTTTGACTACATGACAGGTATTAAGATGAAAAGTCTGTCAGTCTGCCCTTGAGAAACAAATGTAATTCCTTGACTGGGGCTGATAGGTCCCTAAAAATTTGAATAGTTTTATGATTTACCAGGGAATGAAGACCTGAATAATAAAGTTTGCAAAAACTCCTGTGCCTTAAGGTAAATGGGGAGTAAATTGGAGACTAGCAAGGAAGTACCCTTGAGGGTCACTTAGTCCTTTAAGTCCACCTCTAAATACCAATGTTTATAGCTTCCATCCATTGTGCTGTCTTGTTTATGTATTAGACTGAATTATCAAAAAGACTTAAATGTTTTGTCAGTAATTTGTATTTATTACCAGAGACAGGGAACAACCATTATTTCTCTTCATTTGTTCACCTTATCCCACAGGAGGGTACATTAAAATACTTTTGAAGATTTTCAATAGATTTTTAGTTATTTGTTAATATTGTTGATGTGGTACCAATCAAGGATTTTTTTTCTCCCTAGTAAACCTTTTCCATTAGGGATATAAGATGGCTTGTGGTTACATGTGAAATGCAACAGGATAACAAAGAAGTATTAGGAGACACAAAATATGCCCTGGAATAAAGGTATAATTTGTCGTTGGGTGCTGATGATATCTGGTATTTGCATGTGTTTGTACAATTGGCCTGAGAGGCTAAATCTTCATGTATTTCCAAATAATGATGTGAAATTTAAGGTATTGCTCAAATGTACAGACTTGACTGGAGTTAAGTTATTATGCTTCTCAGGTAGCCTTAAGTTTTATGTTGTTTCAGAGACAGGAAAAGAATACAGTGCCCTCACATATTCTGCATCCTTCCTTTCCTCAGCCATCCTACCATTTTTTTCCTCTGTATTTCCTTTCCATTTTTTACCCACCTTTGTTCTTTCCATCTGTTTTCTTCATTTTCTCACTTATCTGTATCAGTGGTTCTTGAACTTTTCATTTTTTTGAGTCACCTGGTAAGTTATTTAAAAATAGAATCATAGCCTCTTCTCTTAGATTGATAAACATGGACCAGGGATGAGGCCAGAAGTCTGCATGTTTATTTTAATAAGGAGCTCAGGAGATTTTGATTCAAGTGACCCCAAATCCAGAGCCAATGATATAAATACTGGTTAGCTTCTCTCCTGAAACACTGTTAAACATCCTGTTTTTAATTTGGAATTCTTAATTTCTAGACTAACTATTCCTTCTGGCCTTTTGACAAATGGCAGTAAGTAGCTACTTGGTGCCTTAAAACATGGACAGTGACATACACATACCACTCCATCTTCTGCCATGTGAAGCCTAAGGACTGCTAGCAAGAAAGCTATCACCAGGAAAGAACCCTCAACCTTGTTCCCCTAGGACCATAAACCAACATAAATCTCTTTTCTTGATAACTCTGAAGAAAAATTATCAAAAATTCCAGGACAATATCAAGGATGTTGTATTCATGACAATCTAGAAATGTGATCAGTGTCTAAATGGCTTTGTATCCTGTGTATTTCCTTTACATATTGGGAAATGAAGGTAAATTAGTAAGAGAAGAGTTGGTGTAGAATAGCTTTGTCACCCTAGGTCCCGGTTTATTTTGGGGAATTGTTAATATTCAAACACCTATTTACTATCCCAAGAAACTTCTTGGAAGATTTCACATCCTAATTTCTAATTTAGAAGATAAAATGAAAGGTCCCTACATTTAAAAAAAATTTTTTTAGTTGTAGGTGGACACAATAACTTCATTTTATTTTTATGTGGTGCTGAGGATTGAACCCAATGATGCCTCATGCATGCTAGGCGAGCACTCTACCACTGAGCCATAACTAACTACCCAGTCCTAGAATTAAGATTTAAGGTCAGTCTTGCTGCTGCTTTTACTTTGATGTGATTCCACTGAGCTAGTCAGTTTTCCTATGTGTAAGTTTCAGCATCTGAAGTGGCATTTTTGTTCAAAAATCATGAATTTTTATAGTTGAAAGAAACTTTGGTTATCATCCCTCATAAAAACCAGAGTGGTTCAGTGAGTTTAGGTTGAGTTATAAAGCCTGGGTTGGACTATCAGCTGAGCATTTTTTTCTACAAACCTTTGGGTTAATCATCTTCATTGCTTCCGTTTTCCTTTACAAATTAATCTTGCTTAAAGCTCATTTTTGTTTTTCACTAGAGAATATGTCAATTCCTTAATGACAATGTTTTATAATAAATACCTATGACTTTTGCTATATTCCTTGGTTAGTTTGAATTTACAAATATGTAGCCATATATCACCTCATGTAATACCATTTCAATCTTAATATATTGTTTATGTCATTATAGTTACAAATGAATTTAAGAGAACTAAGTAATTTTCCCAAGGACCTAGATATTAGATCTGGAACTTAAACTTAAATTCTTGTTTTTTTTTTATTCTAATCTTGGGTTTACCTAAAGGTGAATGATTCCAGGCTGAAATGATTGGTGTTCCAACATGGACTGACAAGTTTTACCAAGAATAATTCTTTTAATACTCAACTAAGGACTTAGGAAAAAATTAATTATAAGCATACAGCAGTATCCTTCAACTTACCTATTAATGCTTAACAGAAAAGCAGCTACTTTTATTTAGTCCATTTTAATATTAAAAAAATATACATGATAGACATTTTCTTTAAAAGATAAGCTCAATAAATAACATGGCAAACCTTTCTCTACATAGTAGTAATAGGTTTTCATTTTATGGATTTTTAAAAATATGCTCTTGCTTGTCACTTTGTTAAAATAGGAAAACCAACTAGCATTTGTTCTACTGAACAGATAATTATTTATAAACCCTTTGTCCCCCAGGCACCAATTCATTCTTATTTTGAGAAGATGCAAGTTTTAAAGCTTGCATCCCCTGAAGTGATCCTCCTGCAAGTTACAGATATACAACATTTAAAACAATATTGAAATTTTTCTAGATGTTGAACTCTAGTGGCACACAGAATTTTGAAACTTCATCTTTGAAACTAATGGATACCATTAGTTAAGATTTCCTGTTATATTAGCTATAAAACATTTCAGCAGATGGATTCCAGAATAGGTCACAGCACTGTGAAAAGAAAAGAAAAATATTTTTTTTCTTTACCTCAGAGGTAGTAACAGATCTTAATTATCTCACTTAAAGTTATTTACAAACTTTTGTGATTCCATGTATGAAGCAAAATGTCTTTTAATTTGTTCTGCCTTTACTCTGTTCCCTCAGCTTCTTACAGGATTTATTATCTGATGATCCACAGTATCTGCTCCATTTCCCTCATAATTCTAAAAATTTTACTGTACCTTTTATTTTACTATTTCCCAGAATTAGTTTTGATATTTTTAGTTTGTTGTTTTCATAACAAAAATTCCACCACCTTGATAATTCAGAACTTTCTTTAGGTTTTTTATCTTTTTTAAAAAATCACCCTCCATTATTGTAAGTTTTGTTTACCTGTCTCTCTCTATCCAATCATTAAGCCATTCCTCCCAACCTTCCTGTCCATCCATCCATCTATCCATGGAGCTCAACCACATCAATTCTCAGGTTTTTTTTAAATACATTATGATTTTATATATAGGTAGAATATTTCCTACAGTATCACTAATTCCTTTCATAATTAAGTAAGCATTTCCTGGTCAAAGGTGCTTCCTTGAGAAAAGCCCATAATGATTCTTATAATTGGAGTTACACGTACATAAACATTTAAAGAGAGACACAAGTTGGATGGTTCAAACAGTATGAAACCCTGAATTTATGTGTAACAAACATTTCTGTCAGCTCATAATTTTCTCTGTCCTTAAAATCAGTTCTCATTCACTTGGAATTTTACACATAGACAACTACAGAAGCAATTTTATAGTGCCTACTTATATATTTCTTCCATACCATTTATGAAACAGATTGATCTCAGTATTCAATCTTAGGGAAGCCTTTCACCATTGATATTTTCTAGGCTGCTGGGTTAGAGTTCATACATAAAGATTAGCACTTGACCTTTGCCTACAAGCTTGAAAACCAAACCTTGCCAGACTAAATGTCTACCACACAATTCACCGTTCTCCTACCACAAGCAAACGAAGAATACCTGATTTCTTTATAATGACCATTTGTGAATAGGCCAAACTCTCTTCTGAAGGCCTCACCATAGGGTTGGTCATGCAAGTAAAAGCAGGAAGTCCATACATCTATTTTCTGCATGGGGTTTTGGAAGCTGTGAGTACATTCCTATAAATGGTCACTGTTACAGTGAATGCTTAAGCTCTTGAAGCTCAGTAGGCTGTCATGTCTCAGTTCTTAAAATGTGAGTGGTGTAAGACTTTAATCATTAATCACCTGTGTTGAGGATGGATGGTAGCAGCAGTGATTCCAAGGTCATGCTGGCAGAGAAAGTTGGCATATCTAAAGAAGAAAATGTCCCTAAAAAGTACCAGAAATCTGATAATCTGGGTCACAGGCCTGACTCTGCCATCCACTATCGACTGGCATTATTAAACTTAACATTATTATATGCCTCATCTGTATGGCAATTACATTCTAGCATCACATTTTTACCGGAGAGAGAAAAGACTCAGAAAATGAAATAAGCTGCTTTAAAAGCCATAACCAAGAAGTACAGGAACTATGCTATGTAAGATCAGAGTGGTCTGACCACTATTTAGCAAATAACTGCAATTCTCAATTTCTCTGATTTGCAACCTTGTCTGTGAAATTGGCATGTTTACTATGAGGATCAATGAAGTATTTTGAATGCTTAATAGCCTCCCTTCAAAACCATCTGTTTTCAGACGTCCTAATTGTTCTTAATGTCAAGTCACAATCTGACAGGAATGGTCTAGTGGCACAGAGCCCACAGAAATATGGGACTATTCCTTGATCACTGCCTTGTTTTGAACATTGTAAGTCCACTGATGTAGCCTAAAAAAAGACCCAAATTTTCTTCCAGTCACATGTGGTAGTTCAAACTCAACTTATGGTCAACTAAAACAATATTTTTCAACAAATGATTTTGTTTAGCCATGATGTGCTAATCTTATGTTTGAGTGATCTTTTTAGCTGAAGTCTCACTTCCTTCTTATTAAACAGTTAAAAGAAATAGCTGTTTTTATGACAATGCCCAGAGCTCTAAGAATTAAGATTTCTCTCCAATCTCTACGAATTTCCATTATGTATGTGGGACAGACAAAAGAACTGGATAGATAACTGAATGTAAGTCAAAAGAGAACAGCATTTTGTAGGAATGAAGGAAGAAGGGTTCTGATACGCATATTCATAATTATAATTTAAATCGGATCCAGATTGGTAGGACCTAAAAAGCCTGCTTATGGACATCTAGGTTTTATCTGGTTTCATTATTTTCTTGTAGCAACTAGCATAGTGCCTTCCACAAACAAGTCAGAGAAAGGAAACAACAGGAGTGGTGCTCTATCTCTGCCACAGTATGTTACTTATTGTACCCAAGATACACCACGAAAGTACAAACCCATGCTTTGTCATGAAACCACATCATAACATATCAAAAATTACCAGCTCAGGAAATAACCATTCTGTCTGCTACCACTGTTTAATCTGAACTCATATGAACCATTTTTTCCTTCCTATCTATCCTTTTTAAAGGAAAAATGTAAAAGGAAAAATTTAGTCCCTCTTAGCCTGACTGGGCTTTTTATTATAAACACAATTATTTCTCTTTGAAATTAAGAAAGAGACCTTTATTGTGGCTGTTTTTAAAAAGTCAAATTTTCATTTCTGCCATGGTCTAGAGTTGAGCTAGGCTGAGGCAGAAATAAAATGAAATGCCTTTAAGGAAGATCCGATGAGAAAGAATAAAAGGAAAAAAAAATATATAAGTACTAAAAGACTGTACCAACAAATCATGGCTAAGTACATAGTCTTTCAAATTTTAAGTGATACCTCAATTTAAGAAACACTTACTTAATATTAAAGGTTTTAAATATATAAAGTTATTAGAACAATTCAACTCTTACCTTACAGGAAACAATTGAGGAAAACATCCTTGTGTTTGAGTGTTGACAAATTTCTGGATCTGAAGTACTTGTTTTAAAAGATGTCCTTTGGAAGATTTGTCAATTTTTGTTAATACCATCTATAGGAAAATAAAATTAGAAATAAAATATTTCTTAATATGCAGTTATACATATTTTAACTACAAATTTTCAGTTACAACTAAGTGACCCATGCATATTTCTAAATCTTTCTAGACCCATTTTCTCATCTACAAAATAAAAACAATAACCCAGAAAGAAGTTGCTCTGAAGATGAAATCTGTTAATATGTATAACATAAAGTGCACATTATGTGTCTGTGATTTAACAGTGTTATTTATTTTTTAGCATTTTTTTAGTTGTAGATGGACACAATATCTTTGTTTTATTTATTTTTTTATGTAGTACTGAGGATGGAATCCAGTGCCTCATGCATGTGAGGCAAGCTCTCAACCACTGAGCTACAACCCCAGCCCTTAACAGTGTTTTAATTACACAGAGCCACCATACCATGGACTTAAGATTAATAAGAAGGATCCTGGAGCCATATCTGTAATTGCTATCAGCTATTTCATATGATTATAATATGTCTTGTGATAAAAGATATATAAATGAATATTATTAGGTTGATTTATTAAAACTGCAAACTTAAGATCATTTTGAGTTATAAAATGGTCCAGCCTAATAAGTGATATTCTAAAAGAAAAATTTGAAATTGGGCTATTTGTAGATTTTATCTATTATAGTTACAACCCAGTTAAATGTTAGAATTTTACTTGTCCAAATACAGCTATATACTGGAGAAACATTAAAGCATGGATGCTTAAAAATCCATTAAGATGTAAAACACTGATCCATCAGGTTTTCTTGGAAGCATTTCTATAAAATTAAATTTCGTGATGAATCATTTATGCCTTTTACAAATAAAAATGCTAATGGCAAAAGGAGTGAGAATTCAGAAAAGTGTATGGTTTCTAATGACCTATGAATCAACTCAAATAGGAGTCTTTCCTCACAAAGGCAAATGTGCTGAAATACATACATGCATGGACATGTAAAAATATATATGAATATATGTGTGTGTGTGTATATATACATATATTCACATTTCCTCAGTTAAAGCTTAGTAAAATATGATTTTACAAACTGGTACCTATGATACAAAATTATGAAAGCTATTACTTAATAAAATCAATTTGACAATATTTAGGCATTTTTACTATGTAAGACTATCATCCTTTGATGCCTTATGAGTTATTCTGATTTACAGAATTTTCGCAAACCCCAAGATTTTCACAACCTAAAGAAGATAAAAAAAGTGGCTATTAATATGATTTGATTTAAACTCCACTGTTATATTTTAATCATTTTCTAACACTTGGTGGAAAATAATCTAAGGTCATTAAGTTCTTCACTTTTCTTTATAAAGGAACTTTAAGAATGCTATTTTATCTGGAAATATAAGGAAATAAAATCAATATGGATTCTAGCCTGCTAATCTGTATTTTATTCTAGGTGAGATGACAGAAACAGTGTTAGTAAGATATTCCCAGAAGTAATTCTGTTTCTTTAAGGGTACAAAAATCATACTGTGTGTGCTGGAGTCTGCTATATTCTTGGAATGATTTTTAAATTCCAAAATAAGTTCACAAATTTTTCAGTTTGTACTTCTATTACATTTGGTAAGTATTATCTGCCAAGCTGCTGTTAAAGAGCTATTAACATGTTTTATTTCCATATTTAAAAAAAAAAAAGGAAAAGCAAAGCACTTAGGAACACTAAATGAACAGCTTAAAACACTTTTACTTTAATTATAATTTAAAAAACTTAAAACTGAGAGAAAGAAAAATGAACAAAAGTGCCACTCTACATAAAGTGCCAACATAAAGTCACTTTCCTTTGTATTTTGAGAGGGAAAGACCTATTCATTCATTTAAATGTTTGCACACATATATAGCCAAACAGAACTGATGTTTCTAACTGCAAACATGAGTCCAAAGAAAGACTTACCACATAAGGTAATGCAAATTCTTCACACATTTCTATGGCAATATTGTCTGTTTTTGTAATTCCAACGGCACTATCCACTAATAAAAATGTTCTCTTCAAACTATAAGGAAGAAGAAAAGATTAATGGCAGTATAAGATATATTCATTCATTTCTCTTCCTATCCATCCTTACTATATTAAGAAATTTCCCTTTGAGTATTTTTGATCCAAAATTTAAAAATTTGTTTAGGCAAAAGGAATTCTAAATTAATCAGGAAGTTTATCCTAATAGTTTAATAGGTCTCAAGGCTGCTTACTTTCAATAACTTAATTTGTTAAATATTAATTTATTTCAATAAGCATGTATTGAACATAAGTCTGACTGGGATTTTTGTTCTGATGAGTAAGTCCCTTCTTCTAAGACCTTAAAGTTTGTTTGTTTTTTTTTTTTTTTGGGGGGGGGGAGACACAAATCCAATTTTACTATACATTATAGAAATGTTTAACTTTTTAAATATTAAGACAAACAGATAAATCGAAACCAGATACATGATATATTGCATTTTCTTTTGTAAATATTTCACCTTACTTTCTATGTAAAGCTATAAAACCAAGATTGGTACCAAACTTTATTTTTTAAATTGGTGGGCCTAGAGATCAAAACCAGAGCCTCTAGCATGTTCAGCAAGCACTTTACCACTGAGCTACACCCCCAGTTCTAGACAAATTTTTACATTTCAGAAATTTAATAGTTTTCTCTATATTGTGCAATTCCTGAAACAGAACTGTCATTTCACTACCAACAGAGACATGAAAGTAAAGATAACATTTTCAGAGGATAAAGCTGAGGTATTTAAAAAATAATCTGAATTTACTATAGTTTATTTAAATCTGGTAAATAACACATTAACCAATTATTTTCATTTTTAGAAATTAAGAGTTTGGTTTTTAAAAAAATGAACACTACTGAAGTATTCTAGAGTTTCAATTTAGGAAAACACTTGAAGTTAAGATTACAGACACCTACAGGCAGAAGCCAAACAAACATACTTTTTTCCTAAATATTATATCATAGAATATTATGAGAATAAAATGGACCTTCTAAATTAAGTCACTTCATAAAAGTGAAATGTTCATCATGTGCAGAATATTCCACTGATAAAAAATGTATTTGGGGATTAAATGTGTTAACTACTATAAGAAAATAAATTTCCTTACTTCCTTCGTTCTTTTAGATAGGCCTCTACCATGTCAACAAAATCTTCTGGTGCTCTATAGCCATAACCTGGCATGTCCACCACTGTAAAATACTTTCCAACTTTGAAAAAATTCATTTTCTTTGTATGACCCTGATAAATGAAAAAATAAAAGCTGACTTAAAATATGTCTTTTATGTATTTCATGTGTTGGAATGTTTTCTATTCAACTGTGTCAAACATTTATTAAAAGCCCCGTATATGATCCCCAAGGATTCTGACGATGACAGACGAAAAGAAAACAGAAGGGAAATGGCTGGATATAAGGTTGGCTTATACTACTTTCTCCTTCCAATTCATTGTCTTAAAATAGAATCCGTATTAAGAGCTTTAGATTCTGTATAAGAAATATGGAAAAATACAGTCAAAATGTTGTTGAGTCTTGCCTATTTCACTCTCCATGGAAAACGTCAGTCTGTTCTAAATTGTGTGATTGCCATAGTCATAACAGGTTTTTGTAACATCTAGATCCAAAACCTGATAAGTTTCTTACCCCTAAATTATTGCTCTCCTATAGTTGTTTTTCATGTTTTATTATGTGAGTTTTAGTGCTCTCATTAAATCATGTACTATAATTTTAAAACTAAAATTGATGTAAAGGTAATATGTGGTTTATTTATGATTTTGTGTCCATGAGACATTTATTAATCATGAAAAGAAAAGACAATTTAGTTAACTGTTTTGATCTTAGAAAAAATATTATCAAAGGTTTTTTTTTTTTATAAATGGTGATTAAACTTCCAATAGGCTTATTTGTCCATCAGAAGACGATTTTAGAATTATGTGACTTGACAAGACTGAGATTGACAATGTCAAGAATAAATTTCATCCATTGTCCTCTTACATACATACACCTCTGCCTAGAAGTTATAGTTTAGCTGGTTTATATGGTAAGGCAGGGTAGGAGTGAGGATGGGAAGGTTAAGAAAGGAATCTTTAGTGATAAATCCAGAGAATCAACTACTTCAAGAAGTGAGGAACAAAAGATTAGTGAAGCCTCATGGAAAAGCTTAATGAAAGGATCAGGGAGTAGTGAGCATTGGAGTCAGTGGTTTTGCCAAGGACAAATGATATGGTAATGGGAAGTGAGGGTGATTTGAGAATATAATGTCATCTTAGATATCGGTAGAGTCTGCCTCCTTAAAGAACAGAAGGAACTGGAAAAAGACAGAGGGGATAAGAAGTGCATGGTTTGGTCTTGGGTAAACACAATATGCGGGACAGGTAAATGTGTAAGAATGTGTATGCTTCAGAGAGTGAGAAAATTAGCAAGGTATAAAAGATTACTGGAAGAAAAAAGCAACAAAACTTTGAAGCTGTTTCCCCTCAAACCTATATGGAACTAGATGATCATTATTTAGAAGGAAATAATACAATTCTAATAAAAGACTTTGTTAATTCTTTGGAAAATAGGGGAAAAGGAAGCTTTTGAAAAACATCTTTTCTCAAGGCACTTACCAATTATTTATCATCCAATATTTATTACTCATCTTAGTCAATTTGTGAGACAGTCTACTGGTATTTAAAAATATCAACATACCGGTTTTTTGGAGACTCTAACTTCAACCTCCGGGGCCAATGAAAATAAAGCCTTTATTAGGGACGATTTTCCAACATTGCTTCTGCCTATAAAACATACCTTACACAAGAAAAAAGAAGAGAATTGAGCACTAAGAGAACTGAGTACTAGTTTATTTATTAAATGCCACATTCCCCACAGAACCAAATTGTTCAGTTTTGTCAAGGCACATAAAAAAAAATGGCTTCTATGTGGTCAAACCTCACATTCTAACACACAGCTAATATTTATGAATAATTTTAAAGTGCTAAGTACTGTAAGCATTCAACATTATTTTCTTATTTATTTTTCATAACAACCCTATGAAATGGGTAATATTATCATCCCCATTTTAGAAATGAGAAAATATAACTGGCCCCAAATTAAACAGTGAGAGTGAAGGAGCTGGGATTTGAAATCGGGGCATTTAGATCCAGAATCTGTGCCTTAAATTACACTACTCGAGAATACCAACATGTTTTTGTTGTTGTTGTTGCTGTTGTTTTTTGGTGCTGCTGGGGATCAAATCTAGGGCCTTGTGTAAAAGGCAAGCACTCTACCAACTGAACTATATCCCCAGCCCAAGAATACCTGCATGTTTTATTAAGCATTACATATTTACAAAGCTTTCTGGAGTAACCAAAAAAAAAAAAAAAAAAGTTATTTCAACAGAACTGGCTCAAAAATACAACTACATGCTTGGAAGCACATTTTCTCAAAACTACCACAGTATACTGTAACTCCATGGTATTTCAGAGTTTTTTTTTTTTCCTTGATCTTTTTATTTCCAATTAAGATTTTAAGGCTGGGGCTGTAGCTCAGTGGCAGAGCGCTTGCCTAGCATATGTGAGGCACTGAGTTAGACATAAAAATAAACAACAACAACAAAAGGCATTCTGTTCATCTACAACTACAAATTTTTTAAAAAGATTTTCTCCTCTGTAATGTGGAAAGCAACAAATATTCTTGAGAATCACCATCACTACACGTGGCTTTGCTTAAGAGTAGACACCTCCAATCAGTTCTAAATGAGGTCAGAACTGCTCCTTGGAGGACACTCTGGAAATCTTCAAGGGCATTTTTGGTTATCAGTATGACTGGGAGGCATTCAGTAGACAGAGGTCAGAGATGCCACATATTCTACAAAACTGTTAGTCCTTCAAAATGAATGATAAGAAAAAACAATAGTATACAAAAGTCCATTAATTATAGCAGTTCTACATAATTTAGAATAAAAATTTCAGGGCAGTGTTCCATTTACATGGCAAAGGCGATCTGAACCGCCTTTCAGCAAACTCAAAACAAAATACATTATTAAATTGTAGAACAAGGAGAAAATGCACACTCCGAAATTTCACTAATGAAAGTTTAAAAGTCTCTCGTTATTGCTATCTAAAGATAATAATTATTCCTGCAGATGATGAGAAATTTAGATAGGGTGAAAATTACATATTGATAAAGATCGTCTCATTTATGAATCTATATCATGTCTCCTTCCCTAACTTCTAATTTGTCTCAGCAAGCTTTTACGTTTCAATTAAAAAGGAAAAAAAAAAAATAAAAGGACAGAATTTTCTTCTTGAACGCTTAGTTCATGTTTCAAAACCTCTTAAAGTCTTCAGTATCCGTCATCATAATAATTAAAACTATATGTGTGTGTTTTCGTCTTTATTTTTGGTGCTGGGGATTCAATTCAGAGGCCTCAAGTACACCAGGCAAGCATTCTACCACTGAGTCACATCCCCAGCAAAACTATATATACGGTTATCTAAAACATGCGCCCACACAAAACCAGAAAACCTCTCTCCTGGGTGAGGAGAAACCAGTGGTGGTAACCCCCCACCCCGCAAGCCTCCTTCAAGACCTGCAGCAGGCGGTGCTCGGGTGGTCTGAGGTTTAATATCTTGGGGACCGTGAACCTGAGCAGCAGCAGCTCTCACCTCAGGTCGGGAGAGGTCCGGAGCGTGATCTAGCCGCACAGCGGAACTGATGTACTCAATACGGTTCCGGGCGGAGGAAGCGAAAACACTCTCCGCTCTCGAGATATCCTCCAGGCTAGGGTCGAAGACCCTCAGGTGAAGGTCGGGCATTGAGTCCGGAACAAGGTGCTGCTCGAGTTCCTGTAGTGGGTACACTAGCTTGGTCAGCTGCTTCTTCGGCAGCCGTAGTACCTCAGCAAAAGTCTGGGACGTGCTGTAAGCTCGGCCTTGGTGCCCCATTGCCGCCGGCATCTTAAAGAGCTGCTTCATTCCAAGCCGTAGGCAGGGCGCAGCCATTTTTCTTTCCCAGAAGCCCCGCGGCGGAGTCCTTTTGGGTCTGGGCAGCGCGTGCGTGAAGGCCGCTGCCGCGGCGCCTGCTGGGAATTGTAGGCTCCCCTGGTCTTTCCCGCTCCTGCGGGCGGTGAACTGTGGATCAAGCCTGCTGGGTTCCTGAAACACCCTTGCTTTAACGACTGTGCCGCGGACTAGTACCTTACTACAGGAGGGTGCTTAACGGTTTCCAGAGGTCAAAGACCTATCTTGCTACGTGGTCCTGATACGAAGGTCCTTGTCTCCATTGGCAATCCAATAAGGAGAACAATGGTTTTAGAAAAAGGAAAAGAGTTTAACTGATTTGCTAGCAAAGGAAAAACACGGAATTCCTGTCCCAGAGGCTGTGATTCTGTCAGGGGGAACACAGAGCTTTAAAAAGAGGGGTGGGATCCAAATATTGTCAGTAGATTAGTGCTCATCGGAGTTCTTGAGAGAGCCGTTGCTTCAGTTCCCGGGTTTGGAGTTCTTTAGTATTGCCGGCCTGACACTTGGGGTAGAGAAGAATATGATAGGTTACCCTTGGACAGGAAAAATGTTAGTCTTGTTCCTGCCTGCCACTCTGCTCTTTGGGATGGGGAGGGGCAAGAAGAAAAAGGAAGTAAGAAAAACAAGTCAGTTTTAAAGTAAGCCTTATGAAGTGAAGCAGCAAGGTTTACTGGGGCATAAACTGGACCCTGGTTACAGTCCTTGGTTCTCAAGTGAGGGCGTAATGCGGAGTGAGACTCTGGTGGATTTCAAAGCCCTTTTATTTTCACAGTTTTTTTGTTGTTTAAGGAACAGTTGACCATTGTCATACATTCGCATAACTAAGAAAAACACTTTTTTTTTTTTTAAACAACTGGTGAGAAATGTGGTTGGAATAGCACCTCATTTTCAGGAGAGGGAGTGTTATCTCTGCTTTTCTCTAGAGGTGCAGGAAATGTCATTAAAGTTTTAGAGATTTCTTACAAAATAAATGTGAAACAATTGTTGTATGGAAGTTCCATAACAACATTTTATTTCACAAGTTTCTTCTTAAAGCAATTTAAACTGATCAGCGGTGGAATGGGAGATAACAGGTTTCAATTTGATGAACTGACTAACTGAAAGATATTCCTGTGTAAAAACCAAAGATCTTATAAAACACCAGCAGAAAATAGCAGTGGAGTGGTAACTCACATCTCTCAGCCGTTTCCCGAGTTGTTTGGTAACTAAACAGTGTAATTCTTGAGTAAACACAATACGAAAATTAATGAACAGAACCAAGGAGTTCCTGATAGCCAGAATAGCAGCTGGACTAATGTTGGCTGGCTAATTTTTTATTGATTTTTGCATTAGGCTCTAGGCCTCCCCTCTATTTCCTAGACTCACTCCCCCATAAAACAAACAAACAACAACAACAAAAAAAACCCCACTTTATTGTGTACATCCAGAAACCTGGGATCCATATATTGCTTTAAAATGCCTTCTAAAAAAAAACGTTGGAGCATCAGTTTTGGAAATCAACCAGAGAATAAAGGACGTTTGGCAATTCTCAGAACTGTTTTGGGGGCATTCAGGGATTAATAGATGTCATGGTACTCATTTTGTAATCTTTCATGGGTCTGAATCCTAAGTCATTTTGGAATTCACTTGATAGGACAAATCATTTTGAAATCATTTGGCAGGACAGTTTTTGCAACTTAGGACAATCTTTACAAACTAAATCACCATGCAAAGGTTGGCAAATCAAATAATCCACTAGAAATAAATATGACTAGGAAAATAACTTGAAAATTTATTTAATCATCTTTTCCCCTCTTTCACTCCATTCTTTTAAGGCATATAAAACTTCAGAAAGATAGTTTACATGATATGTTTTGTTGGGCACATGTGATCAAACTCTTCCTTAATTTCCATTGTAGGTGAAAGATGAAACATGGATAGCAGCAAGACCTACTAGTGAGGGGAAAGGCCTAGAATTTGGAGGGATTCCGAGAACTAACTCCATTTTACAGCTGCAATGGAAATCATAGAGAATACAGAGTATTCTCAGAGTCCAGGAAAATCAAGCCAAAATCAGCATCAAAGGGAATCAAGTCTGGTGAATGGGATGTTGCAGTAGGACTCTGAGTTCTGGCGATACTCTGATCCTATTGTTGGAAGCATCCTGGTTCCTGGTGGTCTGTGCTTATAAAGTAGGACTTTAGTCAAGAACTGTAGAGTGGGAGTCAGAATCTAGCCTCCTAGATCAGGGCTTGGTCTTGGGTAAGATTCAGAATAAGGTTTAATCCTGGAGCTGAAGGGAGGAATACAGATTTAAAAACTATGCTGTTTTTAAATATACACACCTCCAACTTATAATATCCCAAACAGGAATCCTGATATTCTCTCATTCTCTCCTGAACTGGTCTTTTTGTAGTCATTCTTATCACAATAATTGGTAATCACAGTCTCCCAAAGGACACAGCCAAACAACTTGGGAACAAAATTTTTGATTTTTTTCCCACTTAAGCTCTACATTCAATCTGTTAGCAATTCTGTTTTTACTTTCAAAATGTATCCTGAATTTGATACTTTTTGATACATCCCATTGCTACCATCCTTTTTTTTTAATTTTTATTTTTTATTTATAACAGCAGAATGTATTACAATTCTTTTTACATATATAGAGCACAATTTTTCATATCTCTGGTTGTATATATAGTATATTCACACCAATTCATGTCTTCATACATGTACTTTGGATAATAATGATCATCATCCTGATGCAAGCTCCCATTATTTCCTGCCTAGTTTATTGCAAGAGCCTCTGAACTGATCACCCATCTTTGCCCTTTGCCCCCTTCAGTATATTCCCAGTACATCAGTAATCATTATTTTGTCAAAATGTAAGCTAAAATCCCCCATATCTTCTTTTCTCACTCAAAGGAAGGCCAAAGTTCTTACACTAACCTAAAAGGCCTGCATGGTTTTCTTTTCCTGTTCCCACTTTTATTCATCTGACTTCATCTATTATTATTGTCCCTCTTCTCTACTCTATGCAAGGCACACTATTATCCTTGCTGTTTTCAAACAAGCTATACACACTCCTATTCTTAACTCCTCACACTCCTGCCAAGAATGCTTTCCTAGTTAATCACACGGCTTATTCCTTTCCATTTAGGTTTCATTGATGGTCCTTCTCAGAATAACTGCCTTCTATTTTGAGAACTGAGGAGGCAGTTCACCACAAAGTTACCCCATTTTTAAAAATCTATGATGAGTTGGACAGACCTTACATACCTTAACCCATAGCTCATGAGTCAAGTTTTATCACTAAAATTAATCTTACCTAAATGCCATAATTAAACTCTTGTCAGATTGAGCTACCAAGAATAGGAGGAAGATAAAACAGTGTTGAGGTCTTACCACTAGATCAGTGCCATCTCAGTTATTCCTTTCATGATGTATACCTCTGTAATGAATGGCCATTGGGTTCAGAGTGATCTCATTTTATGTCAAAGTCTCAATGGTGTCAAGCTTAGAGAATCCTTCTAAGACAAGAAGAAGGTAATCATTGTAAACCTAGATAGGTGGGCAGAATCTTGGACATGAGAGAGGCATCATGCAAAGTATACACATAGGTTAACTCTCATTCTAGCCTAATCATGCTTGGAATACCCAGACAGAATCAAGAGCAGAAGTAAGGGCAGCGACACTAGGAAAACTTACTGCTAGATATAGAGAGAAGTAATGGATTAAGTCTTGGCATTTGATTTACACAAGACTTTTTCCTACCATCACTTTTTCACATGTTTTAACAATAATTAATATTGAATGCATGCTATATACCAGCTTTGATCTGGGCTCTGGGGCTTAAACATGGGATTTACCTGTTCATGTTGAAATTGGGACCTCAAACTCTTGTAGAAAGAAGAAAATATTGGAGAAAGGAAGAAGGAAGAGGCATTATGTAAAGGACACTGACACATGAAAATCTTCCATATATAATTTAAATTGCCTGGTTTGTAATAACTACTGTCTGAAAAAATGATTTAAATTTAAAATGCCTTTAATTACACTTTCCTAAGTTATACATTTCATTTAAAAAATTTATATTAAAGATTACCTACACATTGATACAATTTGTGGCATACACATACAACATGATACATGAATTTTCCATCTTATTTGTCAATTTGGTATAGGTTACTATTCTTGGGATTTATTATATAACTATCATTCAAGAAAGAGCACAGTCATATCTACCATAATCTTCTTTGGAAGCTTATTAAATCATTGAATTTCACTCATATGTCATTAAAGGACCTTTAGAGAATGTCTCTAACTTCAGAGAGTTTCTTTTCTTCTTCAGAAAAGCTTTTTGAGCTTTCTCTTGAGGTTGTATCTGCTGTACCAACAAATTTCTCTAAAGAGATCTGAAGATTAAAGTATCAGACAGTACTCGTGTGGGAGGTGAGTTCTTAGAATGATTTGGGTTCGGAAGGAGGAGTACAAATTTACTTACCTCAAAGTTGTTTTTATCAATATAGAGAAAACCGTTGCCCTAAGTAATATTAATTTTTCTCATTGGTAATTGTGTATTTGGCTCTGTCATATTAGTGCTATTAAAATATATTGGAATGTTTTGCTATATTCAATTCATGTTTTTATATTAGTAACAAACTCAGGATTTTGTTGAAAAAAGCATGGATCTTGCTGTTATGACTGATTAATTAACATTTAAGTATATGTTACTTAGTAGGCAAGGCTATTCTGATGGGAGATACTTTGCGTACACCTCTAATTCACATCTCACTGCCTTCTTGCACATGAACAATATGCTCTATGACACCCTGATAACTGAGACAATGTTCCACAGGCAAATATACTGATATATATTCCAGTTTTTTACTTATTCTCAGGTAGTGGGTCAGGAGTCCCTAGACCTAGCTCCCAAAGGTGAAATACTAGTATTCACAAGATTCAGCATGTAACTGTGCTCTTGGCTATGGTATACTCTCATAGCCAAGGGTAC